ATTCTATGCTAAATAAAGGGGGTTATTTAATAATTGTTGCAGACGATATATACAAGTCAAATTAGATTCATTTTTTTGTATTATTTATAAATCATACATGATTATTGTAGATTTTATACAAAATGACCTTAAAATATATTTCAATTAATCTTAATATTATTAAATATATTTACTTTTAGTGATCGTATTGAAGAAGCTGATGTTTATGTTCAAACAGAAAGGCTTCTTGATCGACCATCTTCGCCATTATATATTCCGCAAGTCACTGGTAGAGATACTGCTACACAAATCGAAGAAGGAGATGTAATTTTTATTTTTATTCTAAATTTTCTATGAAAAGAAAAAAACCCCAAATTTTAGTTATTTAATTTTGATATTGAAGTCAAACCAATTGCTGAAGTCTTAGTTGGTAAAACATCTGAACAAGCTTTAGTTGAAATTGCTGAAGAAGAAGAAATAACGAGAATTCGTGAACAACATCGAAAATATGAAGAATTACGTAATTCTGAATTAATTGAATTACAACGATTTGAAGAACAAGAAAGACGTTTAAGAACTGAAAAAGAACGTCGAACAAAACAAGCAGAAGAAGCACATCGTCAGGAACAAGAATTAGCAGAAAAAATGGCTGCAAGAGCTTTTACAAGAGCTTATTTACAAGATCTTGTACCAAGTGTATTTCATAATTTAAGAGAAAATGGATTTTTTTATGATCCTGTTGAACATGGTGATAAAGATCCTTCTTTCTATTTCATTAAAATATATTTTTCGTTTATTTTAGAAACTGAATCAACATTTATGCCTTGGTTAATGGATAGAACAATGACACATGTTAATAAATTAGTAATTGGTCGAAGTCTACTTGATTCAACTATTCGAGATGTTGTTAATCAACGTATTGATCAATATCAACGAATAGATGAGTCCCATCGACAAGTAAAATTAGATTTTTAATTTGAAAAGAAAATCTTCTTTAATTTTTCTTCTTCAGGTAAATCATAGTAGTAAGAGAAGAAGTACCACTAGAGAAAACAGTGTTCATGGTTCTGAAAAAAGTCAACAGCAACGTAAATCAACTTCAGGAGAATTACGAGAAACACCTGAAGATAATAGAGATGAAACTAATACAGATACCTCGTAAATTGGTAAGAAAAAAATTTCTAAATAATTTATTTCTAATCGAATTCTTTTTCAGATGAAATGATAAATCAATATGAAGAAGACTTTATACTAATCTTGAACAATGACTTATTGAATTAAAATTTCTTTTTTATATATATTTTCCTATGTATGAAAAACTCATTAAAAATACTATTTCTTTTATTCCAGAAGTTTTAATCTATTGAATAGAGACATACCGGATGTAAATCTACACAAGAATACTTCTTTTATGAACAGACAAAGAAAAGGCCTAGTTCCTATATTGATCATAAACGTCATAGAAATAATTTCTTAGATCTAAAAAATCGATAGAAACGATCATTATTGTATTGTCGAGACTAAGAAGAAGAGCATATAACACAACAGAACGAAATAGAATGGATGCCATTTAACTGCGACCTCTTCGTTCCAAGTCGATAATTGGACAAATTATAAATCATGCGACTCTACTACTAGGTACTTCCTCCTAATCCATAAGATCATAAAACAAATATTCGGATTTATTTACTTAACAAAAAAAGATAAGTAATGGCTAATAAAAATGAAAAAATACCATCTGAAACAACTGTACGTATATCTATACCATATCTAACAAATTTAATTGTTAGTTTACCATTGATTGGTATGGTGGCAAGTTTTATAGCATCTGTTCTATTTACGAAAGAACAAATATTTGAATCTGAATGTGGAGTAAGTTGTTAATAAAAAAAATAAGCGAAAGTCTATTTTTTTATCTTAGTCTCGAAATTTTATTCCATCATTTTCATCAGTAATTGGTGTATCACCCGGTAAATATATATGGCGTATGGCCATAGCCTTTCATTGTTTTCCACGTTTTCTAATTGCATTACTTTATCATAATCAATTTCGAACAAGTCTAAATAAATTAAAAACAAATACTGGAATAAAATTTCTTATATTAAAACAATTAATACATTTAAATACATTTTTTGAAGTATGTGAAGTATTTGGTTTAATTTTATTATCATATATATCATCAAAAGAAAATTATAGTTTACATGAAAAAGCATTTATTATATTTATGTTATCATCAACATTACGTATGGTAACATGTTTAATATTATTTCGACAATTATTATATAAATGTTGGTTAAATAATGAAATGAATGAAAAAAATAAAAAATTTCGTTTTCAAACATCATATCAATGGAAAATGGGTTTATTTTGTTTGGCATTTATTTTTTCACTTTTACTGGTCATTGCATATATAAGACATACAAGTAAATGTTCAAATAATATCGGACAACCATCAACAGCTTGGAGTTATTTTTCTGCATGTGAATATATTATTTGTTGTGTTATTATGGCTTATCATGCAACAGTAAGAGCTTTGTTTTTTTTTCGTTTAAATATAAAATTAAAATTTTTTTTTAAAGGTTTGTTGGGATTTTAATCATTTTGAATTGACAATTTATAATAAAACAACAACAAAATTAAATCATGATTTAAATAAATCGGAACAAGATATTGAAAATGAACAAAAAGATATTTATTTATCTAGATAACATTTCCTACAAAGGAAAAAAAAAGAAAACTAACATGTCATTCATTTAAGAAATGCTTCCTTTCTATTTTAAGATAGTCTCTTTTGTGTGTATTTACTTTATTTTTTTTTGGTTTCAGCTTTTTGTATGTCTTATTATCAAACGCAAAACTCACCTTGTATGTCGATAGTATTTGGATAAAAAAAAAGAATAAATAAAAAGTCTTGCTTACAAGATAAAATAAACAATAATTCAAGTAGTAATGATATTATTGGTTTAGTGCATACGTTAATTATTTAATTTTTAGTAATAAGCAAAAAAAAGAATGATAATTGAAAGAGAACTTTTGGATTATTTTAGTCGAGCAGAAGGAACACAATGTTTTTTTTCTAGTTATTTAAAGTAACATGCAATGTAAAAGTCTTAGCAAAAATGTCACATCACAATTGTCGACCTTTATATAAATCAAAATTTTTTATGGGAAAGGGCAAATTTTTTACCGAGTATGCTTTTGAAGACTACAAAACTAAACAACATTGAAAACCTTCAACATCATTTTATATTTTCTAGTAGTTTCTTTTTATTCTATAATACAACATGATTACAAGGTAATTTTTGTAGCAATAAAACTGCTCTTTCCAATGGCATATTAAAGGCTAAATTTATAACATTTGGTTTCTTTGTCGAAATCGATATCGCTTATAAAATTAGACCGAATAAAGTTTTGGCCATATCATCTTTCTCTGATTTGTTCAATCGAAAATTTCTAGTTTACACTTTTTCCCCCATAAAATAAATGTGATCTGATATTTTTACATTGCATGTTAAATGAAATAATGCTAAAGAAATCAAAGAATATTTTATATCATCTACCATTCTAATCTGAATAACAAATAAAAGTAAGTTTATTATTGAAAATTTCTCTAGAGAGATATTAACATATCTCAATCTTTAATTAATCTTAATATTTACCAAATAATATAATCTCTTCAATTATTTTAAAAATAATCCTATAGAAATTCTATACTCATTGTTTTTATTTTTCAAAAAAAAAATTTCAAGTTCTATGAATAAATGTAAATACGATTAAATTACCTTTTTTTATATCAAATTTTGAATACGTTAAGAAGTATTCTATTTTCATGTCACGATATATGAATAAATGATTTTAAACTAGTTTTAATTCTATTTATATCGACTGTTTTCTTTTCCTTCTTTTTTGTTTATATTATAGATGTAATCAGAAATGTTATATTCAATATTTATATTAGAATATAAATAGAATTAATAATTCTCTTATTCATTTTGTTCTTTATAATGTTGAATGAATGACAAAGAAAAAGAAGCATTAGATACACAGAACAACAATGTATGTACAAAAAACAAAGGAAAGCAATGAACAATAATAAGAGACAGAAATCACGGCGGTTCGCATTGTTTTAAAATATGAACAGATCTTTGACGAGAAAAAAAGGAGAGACAGAGAGAAAGCGTAGATGATGTATTATTTTGTTCAATTGAAATTCAGATATGATTGATTTCGTTCTATGCTTCAGTATCTTCATGACCACTTTCATGACCTTTAAGACGTATACGTGCAAATTCTTCAAAGATAAAATCATCATCATGCCCGACATTGTCAAAACTAAGATGAGAAAAACAACAAACAAATAAATTATTAATTTTTTGTATTAAGAAAAACATACTTCGTATCGAGTTGAATTAAATTATGATCAACAGGTACATCGACTGCTTGTTGATCATCTGAATTTTGTTGATTTGGTACAAACTCAAGTTGTCGTGATGGCGAAGGAGTCGGTGGAGGTTTTGGATGTGTTAGTGTAAATGGTAATTCAACTGCTAAATCTCTTTAAAAAGAAAAAAGAATTTTTATATGTAAATAAATATCAATATTAATTTACCCTCCCATTGCAACAATTAATTTAACTTTAACTTTATATTGCACGATAATTCCAAGATTTTCTTTTTGTGTTGTAGTTCGTATTCTAAATTGAAAGAAACCTTTTAGTGTTTTTCTTTAATCAAAAGATTAATACTTACATAGTGGATGAAGCTAAATTTGTATCTTCATGTTTTAATTTTCCATCGAGTGCTAAACCACGTTTATCTTTATTATTCGCCAAAAGAGGTGTTAAGGAATAAACTTTTGTTAAATTCGAACATGGAGTTATTGGAAATCCTTCACTAAAAATAAAAACGAAAAAAAAAATCTTTATATTTAACTGAAATCATTAGTAAAAAATTTTAAAAACAAAAGCATAAATATAACAAACTGCGTACTCAGTTTCCAATTCGGCGACAGTACATTTGTAATGAGCATTTGTAAACATACAAATTTCAGCATATTGCTTAACTAGAATATATATTTAAAGCATACAACAACATTAAATACCAACATTGATTAAAGCAACAAATATAGACAAATAATAAAATGCGGAGCATATGAGAAAAAGAAATGAAAAGAAAACCTACCTGGATTCAATCGCCGCTACATCACACTTATACTGTGTTGATGAGTACAAGCAGATTTCAGCAAATTGAACAACTATATATGGGTAATTGAGGGTTCGAGAAATTTAATTTATTTTATTATTTTCAGGAAAAAAAGCTAATAGGGAAGAGTTTTTTTCAAACTTTTTAATAATCTTACCAGAAATACGAATTTTTCTTAATGTTTTATTTGAATTATTTGTTACAACAACATTTACATTGATACTTTCACCATGATAATACATCTGAATTTTTAAAAAATAATAAATTTTAAATACAAAAAACAAAAGAAAGAAATTCTTTATCTTTACCTCTTTATCAAGTGTACATTCAAGATGTAAGGGTGCAGGTGACATCATAAAATCTTTATGTGCTTCAATAACAGGTTGTGGTGCAGGAGTTTCTGGTGCATAGGTTAATTTTCTTATTGCTAATCGAACAGAACTTCGTTTATGCGATTTATCTTCACTTGTTTCAGCAACATAAGTTTTTAATTCATAATCAACACCACATGGTTTGCCTGTATCACCAGCCGCTGGTTGTAATGTAACAGAAGCTGGAGCATTATGTGGAATCTAAAATTTTTCATTTATATTAAAGAATTATGCTTTTAAATAAACCAAGTTACTTCAAAATAAAAGGGATAAGCATTCGGTCCTAATTTACGTAAAAGACGTTGTTGTAAATGTGTTAAGGATTTTTTTTGATCATCAATCGGAGGATAAATTTGTTGAGTTGAACAAAACAAATCTTTACGAAATGTTAAACCAAGAACATCAAGATCTTCTCGACCATATCGAAATGCTATTTGAAGGAAAAATATATTGTTTTTTTCTTTTAGTAAAAATAAATAGAATATTAATAAATACCTGCTAAGACAGATGCATAAACTTTACGATCTTTAACATATTCCGGATCCACTAGTACCACTCCATCTATACAACAGTGATCTACTACTTATTAATTTTTGAATGAATTTTTCAAAAAAAAGTATTTCAACATACCAATTGGATCAATATGATCCGAATAGTCAATAAAATCTCGCTTTCCTAGGTAACATGTTATCTAAATAAAATATATGAATGATGTAAAATAAAATTGTTTTGTTTTTTATAAAATAAATACCTTTGAATTGGGACTACTTTTCTTGAACACTCTAGAAATAAAACATAGATTAGCCATTGTTTTTCTTCATCTGAAGAAGGTTAACATGATTATTCATCTATTTATTAGAAGTGACGAAGAACAGAAGTCCTTGTTTTATAATGTGTTATTCCATCTATCAATCTATCGATCTATCTATCTAAGCGCATCAATTGAAAAAGACATTGGCGACAGAAACTAACAGTGGTTTCCTACCAGAAAAAAATGATGACAATCAAAGAAGAAAATTCGTCATATTTTCCGGATGAAAGAAAGATAATGTTTTTTTCGCTAACTATAAAAACTATTCAGATAAATCTTGTTTTTCTTTATAAGTTTTGTCAGAAAATAAAACACTTTGTTAGAATTTCCGTTATATAGAAGCACTGTAAAGAACCAATGTTTAAACAAGATGAAATAAGATATTTATAATTACATTCGACAAAATTTATAAAACATCTGCTATGATCATCACTGAAAGGTTTCTATTCTCAATCGGATATACACGCCCCCATTTGACGTAGATATTGTTGTTCCACGTGTTTATAAGAAAATCGTAATAAAAAAAGAAAAGAATACTTTGGTATTTAGTATACTTCAATGTTTAACGATTTCATATGTAATGAAAATCATTACTTGAAACTAATCTTATTAAACTTATTTTTCTTTCATTAATTTAGCATGAATAATCAATATTGTTTTTTAATGCGATGCGAATAGCAGAAGCATTTATGTAGTTCTCGGCGAGTTTTCTTTTTTTCTTCCTTTCTTTCTTTCTTTCTCGACGTTAACATTCAAGATGGTCATTTTCTTACGCGATGATCTCAGCAATGGAACATCGGAAAATACTCGTTTAAACGGGAGATTAACATTTCAACATTGAACTAATTTCATACGTTTTCCGATTTTCGATAGGACGTTTAGTTTCTTTACAGGAAGTGTCACAAAAACACGATTTTGACTATTTTAAATTTCGAGATAATTAAAACGAAAAAAAAAAAGCAAAAGTTAGGCGCCATTTTTTTCTAACAACTGTTTTACAGCTAACAGTGCAGCTGATAATAGATAATGAATCATCTAGATAATGTTGTGAAAATCTTAAAACCGTTATTTCGAAATTCTGCTATTCGCATCGCATTTCGTAGTCGAGTACAACTCGAATACCTTCTAGTTTTATTTTATCAATTGCGTTGATTAATAAATTTTTTATTTTATCGATAAATTGCAGAAAAAAAATATGTATATATATCTATTCTATTTTTATACTTACGGTTTCATAAGATATTAGATAAAAAAATAATCATTGTTAAACATGATTGAATAAGACAAGACCAAATGGATAGAACGACTAATAATCATACGCGCACTTTCAACTTATTCTTTTTCCTTCTTATATATATAGTCACTAGGATAATGCATCGATGTCCTCTTTATCGCTATTTCTCATATCAATTTGACGTTGTTCTCATTCTTTTTTTTTTCTTCTTTTCTGTGATTCTTGCGAACGCTCTTTTTTTAGTTCTGCCATCATTCTATGTTGAGGCTGTTCTATTAGACGAGAAACAGAATACAATGGTGTTGAAAGCAAAAACAGTAATAATAGCGGAAAGAACGTTTCTGAGAAGGAAAAGGAAGAACGATGGTGCTACCAACACTATCATTTTAGTAATTAAAATGCCTAAAAGTAAACAAAAAACAACTTATCTATTTAACTCAATGGATCAATTTACAAAAACTTTCGTAATTTGTTTTATTAATAAAAATGAAAATATTTTTCAATTGAAAGACAACCTTCTATGAGTTTTTCAAAAATCTTTCGTTCAAATAAACGTTTAATTATCACTTAACAATTATAAAAGGTGTTAAATATAAAAGTGTACCTTGTTCCTTGCTTTTTTGAATCATCTAAACTTAAATCAGCAGCACCGTTTCCATTTGTTTGTTGTTGAGCCATATTTCATAAAAATATTTTTCATTGAAAATACATCATCAGGCTTTTATATATACAATCTATATGAAAGAAAAGATTTTTTTATTTGAAACCATAGAATTATTTTTTTTATGTTATCAATCAAAAAAAACAAAAAAAAGAATTTCTCTTCGTATATAATCTGATTGAATTTTCGTTTATTAAGTTTATAAATAGAAACGCGTTCGTGAATATATGAAAGGAAGAAAATAGATAGAATTGTAGCACAAAGAAAATCAGCAAGCAATGACATTCTACTTTTACCTCATTTGTTTATTCATTCGCCATCAACGACAGACATCAACTCTCATTGTGCTATTATTATTCATATGTGCATTGATATATGCTGACATCTACTAACAAACAATAGAAAATTTTCGAAATGATCATTTTCGTTTGAGGAAACTCAAATTTGAATGTCTGAGATAATGTTATCTTAACAATCTACAATCTCGATTTAATAAAACAAGTTTATAATCATAAATCTGCTACACATGTATGTCATACATAGTATTTGAACTGCGAAATTGCTTACATATATCTAGAAGTCCTATGAGACAAATAGAACTGAAGAAGAAAAATGCAAAATCTTTATTGTCATGAAATTTATCATTACGAAATGGCAGACTATCAAAAAAAGGGATATTTATTACTAAACAAGTAATTTCATTTATATTGCAAAGGAAATAAATAGAAGCTTTGAAGTTGTGGATGTTTCACAATATTTTCTATAGTTTATAACTTATGTAACTGTAGCTCAAATCATAAGACAGATCTGAATTCTTTTAATTCGAATAAAATATCTATTGATAACTAAAATTAGTATTTTATAATAATTTCGTACGGTTAAATCGGAACGTCAAATTCAAGTTTTGATTCTTTTCAACATTGGTACAAAATCAAAAATAATATGTTTCTGTATACTATTTAATATATGTTTAATGAAAGTTTCTATGTGTTTTATAGAAAAAAAAGAAGATAAATGCTTACAAATATGGAGTAAAACTTGTCGTAAAAATATCATTGTGCTATATAAAAACATAAGTCTTGTCATATATATCACCTATATATTCTCATTTGTGACATTCTTTTGATTTTATTTCTCATAATAATCTATTATTATAACATGTTGCAACAGCAGTTCGTCTATTATTCATTATATATATATAAGTTATTCCATTTCAATCTCTATCATTACGAATACGTGACATAAAGGACAAAATTGTTTCTATATTTAGTTTAAACATTAATGAATTAAGAAAATTATATATATATATTGAATTTTTTTTTCAGTTCATTGAAATAAACATGATAAAAGTACATGCTCATAAATTTATAAGCATCAACATATTTTCTTATACATTTGAATATAATAAATAGAAGTAAACTATCAAAATAATTCATACATTATGTGCTAATATTTTAATGAACACAAAAATACCGAAAGTTTATTTTAAATGATAATACAATCGCTGATATTAACTAATAACAAATAACATGGTCGAGTACAAAGAATTTCTTATTTATTCAATTATGAATACAAAAGTTTTATGATAATAATTAAATAAGAAGGAAAAATCTGATTTGACAACATGCATGTACTAGTACAATAATGATTTTGTTGATAGATATATGGATAGGATAGATTTAACAGGAATGAAATTGTTAATAATATTGATGAAAAGCAGAGAAAGTTTCTAATATATATATCGCGCAATAAAGAATCTGTTTAATCTAAACCATTTTTCTTGTTGACACGAGATAAAAAAAGTGATATATATCGTGTAACAGACGTGCGATTCTGAAATAAATGAGATTATATAGTCGCATATTTTTTATAAGTCAAGGATTATTTTTTATCATCCAATCAAGAAAATAAGTAAATATTTCTACATAATTTATAATTGATAAAAAAGTGTTTTTTTTTATCAAAATCTAGATATAAATTATATTTATTTAGGAATATCAAAATTCTTGTAATAAAACATATTGAATAATGTTCTGAAATATCCTACCTGAATTTTATTAATCTTTAGACGATGAAGAATGCTTAGTTTTGCTGAAATGTAATGAACTAAAGATATATGAAACAATATTACGAATATTCTTCAACAAAACAAAATAATCTATGTAAGAGATGAATAGACAGGTTAAGATTGATCATGTCTAATAGAATCCCTAAATATGTGGTTATTATTAGATAGCATTCTTTAGAAACTACGTTTTCGAAAAAAGACATTCTTTCATGAATCAGTCAATTACTATAAATGATTTGTCATTTATATGTATTCTTTGTAGCAAAATTCTGCATAACATATACGAATAAATAATTTATTATTTACAATTCAATTATCTATTTGATTTTATTAAGAAAAAAGAAAAACCTTTAACATCCAAGTGTACCAATACGAAATTGCTTCATTGTCATTGCTTCAATATCACCAGAAGTTAATAATATTTGTTGACCTGTATAATTAGTTTGAAAAGGATTTGAATTAGGGTTTGCTATAGATTGTCTCATTGATGCACGATGTTGCTGTTGTTCAAGTGCATGTTTATTTGTTAAAATTTTATGATTTTGTTCAACAGAATTCGATCGAGATTCTTTATCAGATGCACTTGATAAACGTTGAAGACTTTTTCTTGGTGGTAATGTTTTACGTACAACTGTTGTTGCAGCTGAACCAGCATATTCATCAGATTCACTGCCTCCATGACCAACAGAATTTAAACGTTCCAAACGCGCTTTCTTGTAAAAGAAAAAAATAAAATTATTGATTTTTTTCCATTTCAATTTATCCTTTCATGCTACACATGCGCTTATTATGTCTATTAATGTCCATGACATGCTATAGCTTGCATACAGTAAATATTTAATGGCTTATCTGAAAAAATTGATTTGAGTCAAATGTATTCTAGAAATCAGTTTTCTATATTGTATCTCTTTGTTATATTGTTTTAATAGTATATTTTAATGTCTACTTACTAAATATTCTTTATCTTTACGTTTCATCACACGTCGTCGTCGATAAGTCTAATAATAATAATAGAATTTTTAATTTTTTTGAAAAACTGAATTTTGTTTTACTTACAACAAAATACATCCAAAGAAAAAATACTAGATGAAATAATGTATAAATTACAACTAATGTTATGAATGCCAAATTATCCCAACGTGGTGCCACATCCGTTGGACATACAGCAATTATAGAATGCCAAGCACAAACTACACATAACATTACCATTGATAATAGAACATATTTATCCTATAGAATATTTTATATCAATTAAAATTTTCAAAAAAAGAAAAACAATAAAATTTACTAATGTTGTTAAATAAGATATTGTTGGTAAACATCGAACAACTACCCATTTAAATGTAACAGCTGTTAATAGAAGAGTAAAACTTAATTGAAGACGATTTTGCGGAAGATTATAAGTAACACTAAATGTGGTAAAAGCCATTACTGTTATGAAAAACTAAATATTAGAGAAATTTTATTTGAATTTATGCCCCCCTTCTAAATTATATTTACAATTAGAAAATAAACATTCCAATAGAAATAACCGGGTCGACGTGCAGCATGACCTAAAATAAAAAAAATTTATTTTACAATATAAGGAAAATTTTTGTTTCGATGAATATAACTTACAAGTAGCTGAAAAAGCAGGATGTTGATTTTGTGATGGTGTAAATGGACTTGATAATAATTTAGTAGATGTTTCAACATGTTCATGTAGACGCCATTCTTGTTGATCAATAAATGCATCTTTAAAATTGAATGAAAATATAATATTTGTTTAATTAAATTTTTTTTTCTTACGTGTATTAATAGCACTTAATTGATGTGTGTCAGCAGTAAGTAATACTTCATTAACAGTTCTTGTTGTTGAAACTGTTATTGTTAAATCCTTTGAAGGAAAATTAAATCTTCGATAAAATAAATAAATAGTTAGGTTTACTTGAACATCAACAGGAAAATCATTAAGTTCAAGATTTTCAAGAAATACACCTTTAATTTTTCTCATTTCATAAATCATTGGTGTATCAATACCATCATAAACAACTTTATGCCAAACATCATTTTTAAGATCTCCAACTGAATTATCAATATATAATAGTGGATTCCAAAATTTACTTGCATCAAAACAATCAATATCCTAATTAAATATTAGAAAATTTATTATATATATATTTTTTTTCTTCTATAGAATGAAAATATGAAGTATGACTAATTTGTATGAGCTACTTAACATACTTACATGTCACTTACCGTGCCTTTTAAAGTTGGTTCATACCAACGTGCTTGAATAAATGCTTCAGCTTGAAATTGTTCTTTTAATGTATCGATTTCGCCAATTTTTAAAAATACTAATCGTAATTCAACAGTTACCTGAAAATAAAACAATTGATATTATCTATTAAGCATACTTATGTCTGGTAAACATATGGCATCTATGATATTAATATATGAAATCCTTTAAAGAAGCTTAAAGTTAGACCTTCATTTGTTTTCTAATATACACAAAGATAAAATGATGTGTACTCAATAGGAATGTACACGCTATTTATTTTGTCATCAATGAAAAAATGTATATAACAATCGTTAAGATACTATTTCTCTTTTTTATCTGTACTATTCATAGGAGATTTTCTAATGAATATGTAATAATATCAATATGATATTCTTTTACAGATCAATGAAAGTCACTTAATTATATTTATATTATGCTTTATTTAATCATTAATATTTGTCTAGTTAATTCTTTTAGAAAACTATAATCTTTTAATACATACTCTTTCAAGTTTATGTACACCAGAAGTATCATCAGCTGGTCTTGTGTCTGGTTTTTCATTTGCTTTAACAATATTATCTTTAATTTCTGATAAAATTTTGGCATTTTTTTTAAAATGATTATTTAATTCTTGGAGTGTATTTGTTAATTCACGTAAATCAGCTGCTGATGTTGATAATGATGATTGTGCACTTTGACATCGTTTTGCTGATAAATATTGATGTGTTGAAGTTGCTAGTGATGATGATGATGGTTGTGTATGTAGTGT